TAGCCTTTGTAGCTTCCCTAACCTTCAGGATTTTCCCTGGCTTTGAAGTAATTCATCACACAACACCTACCTTCCGAAAAATCTAAATCAAGACCTTATCTGGACCATATATATCCCATCCATAGCCATCACACAACACCTGGATTCCGAAAAATCTAAATCAAAACCTTATCTGGACCAAATTGGTTTCCTGGTCTTCAGCTTTGCTATAGAGCCTCGGTGGCCTTATGTCAGTATATCTGGGCTTTATCTGATTGATATCGACTAAATGTCCTCTAGTTCTATTATATATAGAATGAATGGCAAAATTGAGAACCATGGAGGATAACAAAAAACGAACTGAAGGAGTCAGAGACAATTTGGTTCAGCTTAATGCAAGAGAGGTTGTATAGACGATATGATGACTAGGGAAATCTGGAAGCTGAACGAAATAGCCTCCGAGGCCTTCAGTTCGTTTTTTGTTATTCTTCCCGGTTCATAATTTAATACAGCATCCATGGCCTTAAGCTCCTTTATGTTGCCCATACGTGCTTTGTTTGATCGAGAGGCTTTATTGACGAAATGATGACTAGGGAAATCAGATCGTCTATACAGCCTATTTTGCCTTTACCTGAACCAAATTATTCTTCCTGGTCTCAATGTTGCAATTCAACTTCCATGGTCTTAAGCTCATCTATGCTGCCCCTACGTGCTTTGTTTGATCCGTATGGGCTCACTGAGCCCAAGCTCGTCAAAATATCCCATGTAAATTTTAGCTGGTTCAAATTGGGGTTTACCTTTTTTGCGTAGCTTTTATGCCTTTGCTTGGAGAGAGTATAATTTCTAGCTTTCAGTTTGCCTATGCATCTCTCAGGCCTTTTAGCTTGTCTATGTAACGTCTTTGACCTTCTTCTCGTCTCTTTGGTCTCCCTCGTCCCTAAAACCGTTAAAGATCCAAGGGAAAGTTTTTGCTTAAGCTGAGCCTTTTTGAGCCTTAGCACTTTTGTGGAGCTTTAGGCCTTTAGTTGGGCAAAGCAGAATTCTTAGCTTTCAGTTTGCCTAAATATCCTCTCCGGTCGTTAACCTTGTATATGTAACCTCTCCGGCCTTCGTCTCGCCTATATGGCCACCCTCGCCCATAAAACCGTTAATGTGCCAAGGGGAAGTTTTCGCTTTAGTTGCTTAAAATAGCCTCCCTGAGCTTTTTGTGTGGAGCGTTTAGGCCTTTATTTGAACAGAGCAGAATTTCTAGCTTTCGGTTTGCCTATACAACCACTTCTGTCTTTATACAGCCTTCAGCTCGTCTATGTTGCCTTTTCTGGCCTTGATCTCGCCTCTATGGTCTCGATCGCCCTTAAAACCCTTAATGGTCCAAGGGAAAGTTTTCGCTTTTGATTGCTTAAAATTGCCTCCCTGAGCTTTAGCTTTTTGTGGAGCTTTTGGTTTTTTAGCTAGACAGATAAGATTTCCTAGCTTTTATTTTGCCTAAACATCCTCTCGGACTTTTTAGCTTGTATATGTAACCCCTCTAGCCTTAATCTCGTCTCTGCGGTCTTTCTCGCCCTTAATGATCCAAAGGAATTTTTGCGCTTTAGCCGGTTCAAATAACCTTCCTGGGCTTTAGGTGCTTTAAATATCTTCTTTGAGCTTTGGCTCTTTTGTGGAACTTTTAGGCCTTTAGTTGGAGAGTACAGAAATTCCTAGCTTTTAGTTTGCCTAAACGTCCTCTCGGGCTCTTATGCTTGTATATGTAAGCCCTTTGAACTTCATTTCGTCTCTGTGGTCTTGGTCGTCCTAAAAAGCGTTTATAATCCAACGGAAATTTTTCGTTTTAGCCGCTTCAAATAGCCCCCTCAGCTTTAGCTGCTTTTAATATCCTCACTGAGCTTTAGATTTTTTATGGAGCTTTTAGGCCTTTAGTTGGACTAGGCAGAATTCCTAGCTTTCAGTTTGCCTAAGCATCCTCTCGGACCTTTAAGCTTGTCTATGTAACCCCTCTGGCCTTCATCTCGCATTTTTGGCCTCCCTCGCCCTTGAGACCCTTAATGATCCAAAGAAAAAACTTTCGCTTTAGCTGCTTAAAAAGCCTCCCTGAGCTATAGCTTTTTTGTGCTGCTTTTAGGCCTTTAGTTGGACAGAGCAGAATTCCTAGCTTTCTCTTCTTATATGCCTGGGCCTTTATAGCCCCTCTGGCCTTCTTCTCGTCTCTGTGGCCTTCCTTGCCCTTAAAATCGTTACGGAAGGAAAATTTTCGCTCGTGCCATAATGAATTTAATTTGTGACAGTTATTCTCTGTGTAGGTGTCATTTGGCACAAGCGTTTAGCTCTATTTCAAATCATCGTAACTATTTCAGTTTTTTTTTGTCTTCACTTGATTCTTATCTTGTTGTTGTCTCTTGTCTCAATTGTACAAGAATGTTTTATTGTTGTTTTTGTTTTTTTAAGATTGTCAATTAACACATATTTTTTGTTGTGTGATGGAACACACACACGGACGCACGCACACATTGAGTGTGTACACATGTACTTTACACTTACTTTCAATCATTCTTAAGAATCATAAAACAAAGCAATCTTCCGCATTATTGCCGCAAAGAATTGTGCGTTATCAGCGGCAGCAGCTGTACCAGAGCCCAATCATGGCTGGGATGCTTTGGAACTAGACGCTGCGTTATCAGCAAAAAAAAACGTAGATTTTTTGTTCATGTTTATTTAGTTTATATTACAATAAACAATAATAAATTTAAATTAATCAGAGAATTTTTGTTTTTTGTGCAAACTCAACAGAATTGAAGAAGATGAGGAGGAGATTGAGCAATGATCAGATCTGAAGATGATGATCTTCGTCATGATCTTGTCGGAGACTTGTTAGGCAATGAAGATGGATCGTGATGTCTATGTTGTTTGACGTTGAAAAATTATCATTCATTTGGCACCCCATATTCAGATGTGGAAGGGGGGGAGGATGAGAGGTACCACTCTCCACAAAGTTCAAGTACATTTTAGTAAGGAAAAGTTTGAAAACATTTGTGCGATCAAGCTGGGGTCCATCTCCCCTGAGCAAAGGCAGGGTGGTTGTAATCATTTAATATTTTTATACCCTACACCATAGTATGGAGGGTATATTAAGTTTGTCATTCCGTTTGTAACACCTCGACCACACAAAGTATATATATTCTTGATCAGCATAAAATTCTATGTCGATTTCGCGATGTCCGTCCGTCTATCCGTCTGTGGAAATCACTCTAGCTTCCGAACGAAATGAAGTACGTTGATAAAAATTTACTGAAATGTGTATCATGTCTGCAGGACTTTTGGTATTGAAAATGGGCAATGTAGGTCCACATTTTCGTATAGCCCCCATATAACGGATCCGCAAGATATTCGGTATTTTGATACTTTTAGCGACATTATTTACCGGAATAGTTTCAAATTTGGTATTTGAAGTTCATAATAGATACTACAGTATAAAACAGAAAATGGGCCATGTAGATCCACGCCTTCGTATAACCTCCATATAACGGCACCTCCCAATATTCGGTATTTTGATGAATTTAGCGACATTATTCACCGGAATTGTTTCAAAATTAATACTTAAAGTTCGTAATGGATACTACATCCTAAGACAGAAAATGGGCCATGTGGGTCCACGTCTTCGTATAGCCCCCATATAACGGTTCCGCAAAATATTCGGTATTTTGATGATTTTAGCGACATTATTTACCAGAATTGTTTCAAAGTTGGTATTTGAAGTTCGTAATGGATACTACATCCTAAGACAGAAAATGGGCCATGTGGGTCTACGTCTTTGTATAGCCCCCATATAACGGTACCCCCCGATATTCGATATTTCGATGATTTTAGCGACATAATTTACCGGAATTGTTTCGAATTTGTTATTCGAAGTTCCTAATGGATACTACAGCCTATGACATAAAATTGTCCGTGCAAGTCCACGTCTTCGTATAGCCTCCATATAACGGTACCTCCCGATATTCGGTATTTTGACGATTTTAGCGACATTATTCACCGGATTTTTTTTTAAATTGGTATTTGAAGTTCGTAATGAATACTACACCCTAAGACAGAAAATTGTCTGTGCAGGTCCACGTCTTTGTATAGCCCCCATATAACGGAACCTCCCTATATTCGGTATTTTTATGATTTTAGCGACGTTATTCACCGGAACTATTTCAAATTTAGTATTTGAAGTTCGTAATGAAGGCTACAGAAATCCCTGGCTTTCAGTTTGCCTATGCACCCTCTAGGGCCTTTCAGCTTATATATATGAACCCTCCGACCTTCATATCGTTTCTGTAGCCTTCCTCGCCTCAAAACCAAAATTGTCGCTTTAGTTTCTTAAAATAGCCTCCCTGAGCTTTAGCTCTTTTGTGGAGCTTTTAAACCTTTACTTGGACAGAGTGGAATTCCTAGCTTTCAGTTATTCTATACAGCCTTTGGCTTGTCTAAATTGTCCCCTCTGGCCTTCATATCGTCTCTACGGCCTCCCACGCCCTTAAAGCCGTTAATGATCCAAAGGAAAAGTTTCGCTCGTAATGAATACTACAGCCTATGCCAGAAAATTGTCTTTGCAGGCTTGTGACAAAAGTTACCTATGCAGGTCCATGTCGTTGTATAGACCCTTATATACGGCTACATTCGGTACTTTTAAGATTTTAACAGAATTTTTAATGGATTTTAATTTTTTTGAAAATTGCCAAATTTGTACCAAATGGTGGAGGGTATTCAAAGTTCGGCCCGGTCGAACTTACAGCTTTTTTACTTGTTTTTTTTTTTTCTTAAATTGCCAAACAAATAAACTCCCCCTATGACAGAGAGTTCTCCAAACACCCGTTACCATAGCCATATCTACATGTTTATTTGTTAGGCAATCCGCATTTTGGGGTGTTTATTGATAATACAATAATTGTTAGGGGGCTTTTCTGATTGTTTAGTAAATAATAAAAACTATGTTTGTTGTCTTTTTTTCTTCTTCGTCGTTTTTTTATAATTGTTCTTACCTTGATATGATATGTATCGCGAATCATTTTCTATGCTGTCATAATCTGCTCTAGTTTTTGTATTTGGATTTCTCAAAACCGCCCCGGTCGGTTGGTACACCCAACACGCCACCGTAATTATTAATGTCAGATATTGTAATAGCATTTTGTTGGGATTTATTCGTTTAAACATTGACGGCAGGTGTTGTATTGTTCTTATCATGCTGAAATGGAAGAAAAAACAAAAATTGAAATTAAAATAGAAAAAATAAATATTAGCTAAGTGCTATTTCTTTAAGTAAATAAATATTGTAATTAAAGACTTTTAATTAAGATTAATGTGCAGAACATTTTCTGAGGCAATAATTAATAACAAAAATATGAACTTCAAAAATTATAGCTTTTTGAAAAAAATTAGTTTTAAAAACAAAAATAACGCCCCCAATAATAGAGATTGTGTTGGAATTTTTCACGGTGTCTACTCTTTACTCTTTGATGTGTATGTCTGGAAACACTTCCGAGTCACTTCTGTTTAAAAAATAAGAGTTGGAGCAGAAACTCTCAAAATAGAGCAAGACTATGCTCTAAGAGTGTAAATGAGTGAAAAAAATTGGTGTTCTGATTTGTGTGTGCATAGAAGAGAGGGGGAGAGGGGTGAAGCGGAGGATCTGGAGGTGTGATTGTTTACAGAAAAAATACGAATACAAATAAATACCACAACGGTATGCAGAAATTAAAAGAGTACTCGGTAAGAGTAGAATCTGCTCGATTTTGAACAAATTTTGCTCCCACTCAAAAATTAGGAAAACAGGTTCGTTCCTATCGAGCGACATCGAAAAATTAAGATTGTTTGATTTTTTAAAGCTCACAGAAGCCTTTCCTTCGAGTGATTTTCACTCATTGTACAAATTTGAGCGATTTTTTCGGAGGTTGCAAAAATGTGTATCTTTAAAAAAATTTGCCGCTTTGCCAATGTGAAAATTGTCTCGTCTATAGGAATCTATATTCTATGGGCCATTAGTCTTTAGCTCGTGTATGGAAATATAGACTTCCTCAGCACCTCAATAGGAATATAAATTCTTTCTGTAGGTTTGATTGTGTACAGAAAAAACACACATACCTGGAAATACAACAATGGTATGACAAAAACTAAAAGAGTACTCGGTAAGATTAGAATCTGATCGATTTGGAACGAATTTTGCTGCCACTCAAAAACGAGGAAAACACGCTCACTCCTATTCAAGCGATATTGAAAAATTAAGATTGCTTGATTTTTTAAGCTCACCGCTCGAATTCGAGTGATTTTCACTCGTTTTACAGATTTGAGCGAGTTTTTCGGAGGTTTGGTTGCAAAAACTCGTATCTTTATAGAAATTTTAACGCTTTGTCAGTATGAAAATTGTCTCGCCTATAGGAATCTATGTTCTCTGGTCCGTCAACCTTTAGCTCGTGTATGGAAATATAGACTTTATCAGCACGTCAATAGGAATATAGATTCTTTCTAGCTGGTCTATAAGAATATTGATTCCTTCTAGCTCGCCTACAGCAATAGACTCTCTCTTGCTCGTATGAATGAATATGGACTCTCTCAGCTGCTCCATGGAATTATAGCTTCCACTAGTTCGTCTATTAGAATTTAGACTCCCTCAACTCCTTTATAGGAATATAGACTCCCTCAGCTCGTCTATGGGAATATAGTCTCCCTCTGGGAGATATAATTCCTCTGGCGCATCTATAGGAATATGGACCTCTCAGCTCGTCTATGGGAATATAGACTCTCCCAGGACGTAAATAGGAATATAAACTCCTTCTAGCTCGTCTATAGGAAAATAGACTCCCTCAGCTTGCCTGTAGAAATATAGACTCTATCAGCTTGACTATGGGAATATAGACCCTTTCTAGCTCGTCAATAGGAACATAGACCCCTTCTAGCTCGTCTATAGGAAAATAGACCCCCTCAGCTTGCCTGTAGAAATATAGACTCTATCAGCTTCTCGATGGGAATATAGACTCCCTCTAGCTCATCTATGGGAATATAGACTCCCTCAGCTCGTCTATAGAAACCGACTATCTAAGCTCGTCTATGGAGATATAGACTGCCTCTAGCTCGTCTATGGAAATATAGGTACCGTCAGCTCGTCTATGGGAATATAGACTCCCTCTGCTCGTCTATGGGAATATAGACTCCCTCAGCTCGTCTATGGAGATATAGACTGCCTCTAGCTCGTCTATGGAAATATAGGTACAGTCAGCTCGTCTATGGGAATATAGACTCCCTCTGCTCGTCTATGGGAATATAGACTCCCTCAGCTTGTCTATGGAAATAGACTCACCAGATAGGCTATCGAAATAGACCCTTCAGAGCGCCCATCTACCAGCTGCTCTTCAGATTTGAAATCCCTAAAGCAGACCTGAGTCGATTTAAGTTGTTAAAGAAATAGTCGCCCTTGATCGCTTCAGATTTACAATTATAAAACCCTTTTGAAATACACATTCTAAAAGCTCTGGTGGTCTTTTAAAAATGCTTGATTAACGCTCTGGCGATCTACAACGAAAGCCGCGTTGGTTAAAACAAATCACTATTGTGGTTCTTAAAAAAATCGCTTTTAAGCTTTCAAAATCGCCGATTAAAGATTTCGTGGTCCCGATGGTGAAGTCACGATAAAACTCTGGATATACTTAAACAATCCAGTACTGCAGCTTTGTAATCCCTTAAAAATTCTTGAATACAGCTCTGGTGATCTACAACGAAAGCTGTGATAATAGTCTAAACAAGTCACGATTAGACCTCTTGTGGTTCGTTTAAAAGTTTTTTAAAGCTTTGGTGGGCTTTTCAAAAGCCGAGATTAAAGTTTTGAGGATCTTTTCTAAATCCGAGATTAAAGCCTAGGTGGTACCGATGGTGAAGTCACGCTATATTTGAACAATCCACAGTTAAAACTCTGGAAGTCATGATAAAAACTCTGAATGTCATGATAAAAAGTCATGATAAAAACTCTAAATGTACTTTAACAATTCACGATTAAAGCTTGGGGCGAATTAAGCTCTGGAGTGCTTAAAAATTACTCGATTTAACCACTGATAGTATTTAAAACCATTCACAATTAAAGCTCTGGAGTCCCTTAACAAACCACTTTTAAAGTTCTGCTGGGTCCTGTAGTGAAGCAACAATTTAAGCTTTGAAGATCCTCTAAAAGAATATACTACTAAAGCTTTGGTAGCAATTTAAGATCTGTTGATCCTTAAAATGTCACTGTTAAAGTCACCAGCAATGGCGATTCTCAAAATTTCACTACCAGTGCTGTTACAATGGAATTTTAAAGATCGCCAGAGCTTAAACGGTCACCGAATCTTTAATTGCGGAGTTTTTCGAGGGCCGTCAGAGTGGTTTTTTAAAAAACATAGTTAAAGCTCTGCAGTCACTTAGAACTCCACGTTAAAAGATCCGCTGGTCCCGATAGGGAAGTCACAATTGAAGCTCTGAAGGTCCTCTAATATAATCCACGATTAAAACTCCGGTGAATATTTAAGCTCTGGCGATACTTAAAATTCCGGTATCTGGATATTTTTAGGAGAATTTTTGTCACATAAAAAAGCGTCATCATCGCAGTGACAAGGTCGCTCAGAAGTTTCATGTTCGTATTTCTGAATATATATTTTTATCTTCCTTCGAATAAAATTTCTGAAGAGACTATACGACTTACAAATTTGATTTTAACGGAAAGTTTTCTTGGTCTGCAGAGCTTCAAGTTCACATTTGCTGGGAGTGCCTGAAAGTATGCCTCTAAAAATTGTAAAAATATATGCCAAATTCTCACTTTACATATGACTCTGACATGATATTTAAACTGGAGTTAAAAATGGTAGTATTGACATAAATAAAATTCCATCTTAGGAAAAATGAGGATCAGAAGACTCACATAGGGTTCTATATGGCCTTGCTCTAGATAGAACTCTATATAGATTACCATTGGTGAGAGGTAACTTTATATAGATCTCAGTTGGTATTATATGTATAAAAATGTAACATTTTGTCCATTACACCCCAATATCCATCTCGTTAACAATTTAGCAGCAAATCCATCTATTTAACTGTTATAGTCACGTATTTAAACTAGAATTTTCGCATAGATTTTGTTTTACAGATCTGCTGTTGTGTGTTGTTGGTGTTGCCATTGTTGCGATGTGTGTTCAACAACCCATTAACAACATTTGTGTGTACTTTCCAGGAAAAACCTATTATTTGCTGTTAACAAGAACTCTCAAATGAACAATTCAAAAGCTGCTGTTTTTTTGCCAACTATTTTTTTTACTATTTTTTTGTATTATTAATTTGCAAAAAAAACTGAAGATAAGCTGGAGCAAAAAAAATACGGCAGACATTTAGACTCCAGTAATGAGCAAAAGAGTGTCAGGTTTTGTAAAAGCAAAGAGATTGGGGAATGATAAACTATTGGGGTAATGAAGTAGTGTTGGGAAGTTATGAGTCTAAATGGAAATGGAGAAAAGCAGAAATGAGATATTTTTGTTATGAATGGAGAGCTAAGGTGGTGAAGAGCTATTGAAATAATAATTTTCAAAAATTCTAGTTACAGAGAAAATATAATTCTATCATGTCAAAGAAGAAAACCAGTAAGGAAAAGTCTAAAGTCGGACGGGGCCGACGGGGACGTAACAAAAGAATTATTTCAAGTAGATCATACCACCTATCAAACTGTGGCTTTAGAGCAGTTATAATTTGGTTTCAGAGGGAGCTAATATATGAGAGGCATATCCAATTCAGAATCGATTTTCACTAAATTTGACGGAGACATTTTTATCTTTAATACCATTGCTATAGAGTGCATGATATCACTTTGAGAAGGATTAAATTAAGGAAATAGGTATCGGAGCCGATTTCTGCCAAATGGAAACGTATGTCCCGAAATTCACTCCATTTGGACGGATATTAGCCAAATAATGAATAAAGGATATGTATGGGAGTTATATCTTAATATTAGCCGAACTCTATACAATTTGGCAAAGGTATTTCCGATCGCTATAAGATATTTGGGGTCTTTTTCCCCAAATCGGATGAAACATATATATGAGAGATATAGCTATATCTGAACCAATTTTCATCAAATTTGGTGGACTTCCTTTTAGACTTAATTCGGTCGGATGTACCAAAATTCAGGTTATTTGGACTGATATTGGCAATTTGGAAAACAATTAACCCGAAATC